GGGGGGCTACGTACCGGCCTCCGGGTCGTCGAGGTTCTTGTCCGGATGCAAGATAAGTGCTCGGCGACGGTACGCCACCGTCAGGCGATCCTGCGGCAGGTCGAAGGGGATGTCGAGCAGCTCATAGGGGCACTTGCCGCCAAGCTGGTCCTCGGGGGTGGCCATGGCGCTGGGGGGAGGGGGAGGGGGCCGCGCGCGTGGAGACGTGCGAGCGCGTGCCTATGTCCTGATGTGGGGTTGCCCGTGTCACGGGGGCGGGCGGCGAGAGGCAGGAAGGGGAAGGGGAGGCGCCGGGAGAAGAGGCAAGAAAGGCAGGGAGGAGAAGGGACGTGTTGTCGACCAGCCAGGCCGGACAGGGCCGCGGAGTGGGACGCTAAAAGGCGCCCGACCGCCGTGGGCAGTTTGGCTCACAGTGCCAACGGATGGCCGCTATTTGAGCCACGCAGGCATCCGGCGGCCCGGGCTCCCGCCGGGGCGTGTGCAGCATGTCCCCCCCTCCTCCCCCCTTCCCCCTCCCCTGCCGGTCTTCTGTTTCGCCCGTTTGTGTGTTCTCTCGCCCTTTCTTTTGTCCTGCTTCTCCTCCCCTCTTCCGGTGCTCTGCTGCATTCGCCTCCCCGACGCTTCGCCCTCCCTCCTCTGCCCCCTGTCGCCTCTTCGCGCATCGCCTCCTCCTTCCTCTTGCTCAGGGATCCCGGACACATGATGCTTTCACATGTGCTTGCCCGTGGGCCGGTCTTCGCGACGTCGCGCGCCGCGGCCCTTGCCGCCCGGGCATCGTCGGCGTCCGTGGCGCGCTTCAGCACCAGCATGCCCTACGATGACGATGGTGACGCCAGTCGGGGTGGCCATGGCAGCCACCAGCACTACGAGGACGACACGCTGGACCGGTCGATCTTCGATGACCCCAAGCAGGGGGACAACAGCTGGACCAAGAACCGGCCGCGGAAGACCGACGCCCCGCACGGCTTCGGGCTCGGGTACGGGTCACGCCCGCATGTGGGCGAGATTTCCGTGCAGCCGGCACATGCTCAGACATCCTTCCGTCGGCGGTCGGATTCCCGCCGCGACGCGGCCCCTCCCCGGCCGGAGCCCACGCCCGTGGTCAAGCAGCACCCGGTCCCGATGAACGAGGTACGCTCTCGGCACAGGCACACATGGTCGCACGCCCGCACGTGCAGTTGTCGGGGCATGAAACGAAGGGAAGGCCCCGCACGGCCAGGCACTCATGGGCTCCCTGCATGTGACCCGACCGCCCGGGACATCTGTCACTGACTTGGAGCCGCTATTTGCTTCCCGGTGTGGCAGTTTGAGCCCGACAACTCCGGCAACTCGGTCACCAGCCAGGCGTCGTATTACGGGATCCTGCCGGACGAGGTGAGCACCCCGGCCCAGGACTCCCCGTCCCATGCGTTGGATGACACGTCGGCCGTATCGAGCGACCCACTCGAGGCGGTTCTCTTCTCGACGAATGACTTCGAATCGCCGGCCGAGGCCGAGCGCTTCTTCGCCTCGCTGGAGCGCGATGGCATCCAGGTGCGTACATCGGCGGGGTTGCCTCGGCTTTTGGCTTTTTCCCGTGCCCTTGTTCGAGTCACTGGTGCATCTATGTATTAACACACACACACACACACACACACGCACGCACGCGCGCGCACACAGCTTCGAAATGAATTTTTCAGCAAGTTCAGCGCTTCACTGGCGCAGCTGCAGCAGGAGTACCTGGATTTGGCGGCGGCGCTGGACGGGTCGGTTGATCCGGTCCACGATCCGACCCTGGCCCCGCTGCGCGGCCGCATCCGCATGGTCCTCATCCGGAGCCTCCAGATGAGTGCCTACTTCTATGATCGGGAGTTCATCAGCATGATTGACAGCATTATCGAGGTGCGTGGGTCTTGCCATTCCTGCCCTTTGGCCTGGCGTGTGCGCCTTCCGCGCGCGGAAAGCCAGCCACTGCCTCCGCCCCTTCGCTGGCCGGCCTTCTCGGCGATGTGTCGCATCTGGCGGCTGCCGGCTCGTGGTCACTTACCCTCCCTTTCAGAAAACCCACTTGACCGAGGACCGCCTGCTGATGCGCCTGCGTCTGCACAGCACCACCGCCCTCCAGGATCCCTCCATGGTTGTCGAGGCGACGCGTCTGTTCCAGCACGCCGAGCGCAATGGTGCGTGCCGGCCCTGACCATGATCGGCACACGCTGGCCCGCGCTCTTTCTCTTGTCTCCCTCTTACCAGTTGCCTCGGCCGTGCTTCACGGGCATCTCCGCGCGTGCCCCTCTCCCCCCCCCCCGCCTTTCGATAATGACCCCCCGCAGGACTGTTCGAGGGCCCCTTCTTCAGCCGCACCGATGCGGCCTCCTCCCTGGCCAAGGTGTACTACCGCAACCGGGACTTCGACCAGGTGGTCAGCATCCTACTCAAGGAGAAGGCTCTCTCGGAGAAGAATCTCACCCTGCTGATGCACATTTGCCTCCTCCGACGTGACTACCACTCCATGTGGGTGCTGTGGGATCAGTTGAACCTGATCACCGCGCACCTGGGCGGCCCGGACTTCGTCTCGTTCAACTACGCCATCAAGTGCGCGTCGATGGTGCGTGCTCCGTCATCCATCGACCCTGGGGCCCGGGCCGGCCTCCCCTCCTTTGTCCTCCACACGCGCACACGCGCACACGCGCACACGCTAGACCGCTTGCTAATGTGCCCTGCTCGGTGCCGGCCTCCCCCTCGCTCCCCAACCACAAAGCAACAAGACCCGGCCCGCGCGTCTGGTCTCTTCCTGCGCATGCTCAACAGCTGTGGGCTTCCGCCGTCCTCCATCTTGCTCGAGATCTTCACCTCGTTTACCCGCTGCCAGGGGGCCTTCTCCACTGTGCAGGAGATCGCCGCGCACCTCCGGCGCCATGGGACCACCATCACCCGGGACATGGCGCTCCAGATGATGGAGTCAGCCAGCCGGTCGAGCGACTTTGTCGGCCTGGTCAATCTATGGAACGAGTACTTCACCCTGTGCGTGCCCGCCCCCCCCCCCCCCCCCCTCCCTCCCAAATCGGGTTTCGGCCTTCGGATATGCCGTCATGCCCGCGGTGCCCTTTTCCTTCAATACCATCACCACTGACCGGGCTTTGGCATTCCTTCTGTCGGGCCTCTCCTCCGCTGGCGCGCTCCCTCTTGTAGGACCCCTTCTGAGAGCGACCCGCGCATTCCGGTGGACTTCGTCACCCTAAAGGCCCTGCTTGAGAGCATGAGTATCCACTGGATGCTCCCGTACATGCGCTCCATTCGCGCCAAGGAGAGCAGCGGCGACACGAAGAGTTCGTTTCCCGATCGACCACCCCATCGCACTCCGTCCCTCGACACTTCCTTACCGGCTGCTCCTTTGCCCCCGCCCTCCCCCCTCCCCCTTTTCTTTTCCCCCTTTCGCCCTGCTCGGGTCCTTGCCCGCTCGCTTGGCTGCCTGTGTGGCCCGATGGACGCAGTTCCGGCGATGCACCACCCGCTGCACTTCCTCGAGGGGCTTCGCCAATCGCTGAACGACGCCTCCTTCCCCATCTCGCGGTCCCTGTTGCTCCTCTTTGCGCAGGTCTACTCGTCGATGTCGCGTCCGGACAAGGCGCTGGAGGTGCGTTCCGTCGGCTCTCTCGCCTCCTCGCCGGAAGGCGGAAAAGCGTCCTGGCACATCCACGAAAAGCTGACCCGATCTCCGTGCTCTCCCACTGGCCCCTGTCTCCCACTTGCCTCCTCCCCGCCGGCAGGTCATCTTCAAGGATGTCAATCGGATGGGCGCCTTCCCCTGCTCGGGCATGATCGAGTCCCTGCTCAGCGCCCCCGGCTCCCCCATGTCAGTTTACTATGAGTCGCTGGCTCTGGCCATGACACATTGCACGCCTCTGGCCCTGGCGTATCCTGACTCGGTGGTGGCAATGGCCTTCCGTCATCCCACCCCGGGTGCCATTTTCCGCGATGTGGCCACCTACACCAAGCTCCTCCCCACCACCCTGCGCAACAGCAGAGCCGGTGTTCCCTTCTTCCGGGCGCAGCCATCGCTGGCGTCAAATTTGGTGCCGCTCATGGAGAGTGCCGGGGCCCAAGAGTCGCCCCTTCGACATGAACTATCCTCCGAGTACAACAACCTCTTCAAGTGGTCTCCGCCAGGGTCTCTGCCCGTGCGGGCGCACACCCGCTTTGCCCCGAACCGGGATCGCCGCCACACGAAGTGAAGCACCCCCCCCCCCCCCCCCGGGAGGCTGAGCCCTGGGAGCGGGGGCCTGACGCTCGACCCCTCAAGAGCCGCCAAGGCCCAGCGCCCTTCGGGGGAAGGTCTGCCTTAGATTGACCGCCGACGATGGAGCGCCACGTGCCTGCGGTCTGTGCACGCTCGCAAGCATGGGAATCTCGACCGGTCGCCTCGTGCGCCTTGTGCACAGCGTGTGCATGCGCAGGCAGGGGCATCGGGCCCTTTCGCGCGCACGCACGCACCTGCACCCAATATACCCGCATTTCCCTTGACCCCCCTCCGCCCGCAAAGTGTCCCACGCCGCCCCGCGTCCTCCCCCTTCCCTCGTCTTGCTCACCGCCTGGCGCCGCTCTGCGATCGGACGGGGAACGCGAGGCCCGTTCCTGGTACTCCAGTACCGGCGGTCTGTTTTGCGCGTGATACTCGAGCACGCGAGCCACGCCTCTAGCCATTCCCGCTTGCTACTGCCGACTGATTCGCCCTTGTCCATCCGGTCACCGAACGCCGGTCTCTGTCCTTTTTGCGCGGGTGTCTGTGCGCGCGCGCGCGCGCGAAAGCGCGGGCTAGGAGGAGCGAACTCGCCCGCGCGCACAGCTCCGCCCATTTTTGCCTTTCGCTGGGGGTCCCGGCAGAGCCCCCCCCCCCCCCCCCCCCCCCCCCCCCCCCCCCCCCCCCGTTACCCCGCCCAGGTTCCTGTAATCCCCCCGGACCTGTGGCCCCGTCTGGGCGGTTGTCCGGTTGGCCCGCGGTTAGCCTCCATTTTCTCGTCTGGCATGCATCCGCTTTTTGGTGTGGGCGTCCTGGTGAGCCAGGGGCGGCGTGAGCAGGGGGGGGGGGAATAACGAGACGGACAGAAGCACAACGAGGACGCGACGAGGGCGGCGTGGTGCTGGTGTGCGGGCAGCTGTATAAGGCACTGCCAGCCGACCGTTGCGCGCCCGCGCGATGCTTCCTCCCTCTCTCCCTCCCCCCTCGCCCTTCCTCCTCCTGCCTCTCTCCTAGCACCCTTGCTCCTTCTCCCCCTCCTCCTCCTCCTCCTCCTCCTCCTGCCCGTCCCCCCTGCTCCCCGCCTTCGCCTCCCTTCGTCCGCCCGGCCCACTTGAGGGGTTGGCCGCTGAGAGCCGACTCGCCGCGCCCTACACTGGCTTCGGCCCCCCACCTACCCCCCCCCCCCCCCCGCTCCTTTTCTTCCCACTCCCGTCAGAGTATGACCGACACATCCAGCCACCGGTACGGCGAGATGTCGTCGTCGTCGCGCTCCTCCGGCTCCGGTGCGCCCCCGCCCCTTCTCCCCCTCTCTCTCTTTCTTCCTGCCCCCTATGTCTACTATTCAGCATCTCACCGCGCCACTTGTGCTAACCCGTGTGTCCGGGTCCTCGCTGCCGCTTCTCGTTGGGCTGGCCATGGTCGATGCAGGCCGCGACCGCGAGCGCAGCGACCGTGACCGTGGTGACCGCGGCGACCGTGACCGCGAACGCGACCGTGAGCGCGACCGCGATCGTGACCGTGACCGTGAGCGCGACCGTGAGCGCGACCGCGAACGCGACCGTGACCGTGAACGCGACCGCGACCGTGAACGCGACCGCGACCGTGAGCGCGACCGTGATCGTGAGCGCGACCGTGAGCGCGACCGCGACCGCGGCCGCTCGTACGACAACGACGACCGCGATCGGCGGGCTCGGTCGCGCTCGCGCTCGCCCACGCGCGACACCTACCACCGGCCTTCATCCATGGCTGGCAGTGGGTCCTCCTCGCGGCATCGGTCGTCTTCGCACACGCGTGGCCGGTCGCGCTCGCCGTCGTCCGCCACCGCTGCCACCACTCCGGGCGCCGAGTCCGGCATGCCGGACAGCCTGTGGGGCGTCCTGCCGATCGGCGTGCATGATGCCAGCATCCATGCCGATGCCTGGCTGGCCAGCTTCCAGGGGGACCTGTCGCACCTGCCCTCGGCCCTGGTGTCGCCACAGGACTTCCCATCCCTGCTGCGCGGCGGCGGCCCCCATGGGATGGATCCATTGGCGGCGCATGCGGCCGCTGCGGCGGCCGCCGGGCACCCACTCCTGGCGGGCCAGCATCCGGGGGTGGGACTTGGGGGGCTTCCCCCGGGGGCGGCTTCGTCCATGGCGGCCGCCTATGGGATGGCCGGCATGCCGGTGGATCCGCTCATGATGCCGTATGTGGCGGCGGCTGCAGCAGCCGCCGGCGGCCCCGGCATGATTCCCATGATGTCTCCCATGATGCTGGGGGCGACCATGCACCCTGGCCTGCCAGTTGGGGCCTACCCTGGCGGGCATTTGTCGGTGCCGTATGGCCACGGGATGGCCGGGCTCCCGCCCCCGCCACAGGGGATGCTTTTCCCCGGGGCTCCTGGCCGCGCTGGACTCGGGGGCGCCCCTCCTGGCGAACAACGCTTCCAGCGCCAGGCCAAGCGCATCCACGTTGGCAACCTCCCGCCCAACATCGAGCCGGTGCGTCAGCACGAGGGGCCCGGCAAGTCTTCATGCCGCGCCCTGTCTCTTGTGTGTGTGTGTGTGTGTGTGCCCCATCTCCAGCTGTCTGACCTTGGTGTGCCCTTTCTCCCCCTCCCCTGTCCGGCGTCTTGGATGGGTGTGCGCGGGGGCGGGGTGCCTTTCGCTGTTAGGCTCGCTTGGAGGACTTCTTCAACAAGGCGCTGGCCGAATTGCCAAATCCCCCTCCGGCCGTCAACGGGACTTATGTCATCAGCTCGCAACGGCCACTGGACAAGCAGTTTGCCTTTATTGAGGTATGCGTGCGCGTGGACCGGTGGATGGCTCTTTGTCCTTCTCCTCTTGCCGGTCCCCTGCTCAATCGCCAGACACTTGCCCGCTGACCTCCCCCCACCCTCTCCTCCACACCCGCCGCCTGGACGTGCTCAGTTCGCCACTCCCCAGATGGCAACCGCCTCGCTGAACCTCACCAATACGTTGATAGACAGTTACTCCATTCGAATCAGCCGACCGAAGGAGTACCACGCCTTGGCCAGCCAGGGGCTGGCCACCGGGCCAGCTGCCGGGGCCGGCGGCCCGATCGGCTCCGGCACCGGGGCCGGGCCCTACGACTCGCCGGCCCCTGTGGCCCCGCCCGGCCCGGGCAAGCTCCACATCAATTCCATCCCCCGGACCATCGGCGAGAGCGAGCTCCGCACGGCCCTTGGAGCCCTGGGCCGGCTGCGGACCTTCAACCTGCCCATCAACCCGAGCAACAACTCCCACCGGGGCTTTGCCTTCGCGGAATTCGAGACCGAGGAGGAAACCCAGGCGGCCGCTCAGCGCATCAATTCGGCCCCCATCTTCGGGGCGCAGTTGTCGGCGGCTCCGGCCAATGGCCCGCTGCGGCCGGGGCCCGGGATTTTGGGCCCCAGCGGTGTCGGGTCGGGGCTCGGTGTACCGGGAGCGTCGATCGGCGGGGTTGGCCCCGGCGGGGCCCCGGTTGTCACGTCCCAGTCACATTCCGACCCGGGGTATGTCTCCACGGTGCTGGTCCTGGAAGATGTGCTGAGCAAGGAGGATCTGGACAACGAGGAGGAGTACAATGGTGCGTGCTTGGCCCCCGCCTGTGCCTCCCCGAACAGCGCACGCCGCATATGCACATGATGGGGGGGGGGGGGGAGGGGGGCTTATTCCAGGCTCCTTGGACAAAGGGGGTGCCTCGCGCGTGCTCTCACTCACACACGTACACACACACACACACACACGTACACACGCGCGCGCGCCTGCCGACACAGACATCGTGGCCCAGATCCGCGAGAAGTGCATGACCTACGGCTATGTGTCGAATGTGCTGATCCCCCGGTACCCGCCCTTTGGCTCGGAGGAGACGCTCGACCAGGTGGGCAAGATCTTCATCGAGTTTGCCAATGTTGAGGCGGCCCGCGAGGCTGGCGCGTCGCTATCAGAGATCCACTTCAACGAGAAGCGCATCATCACCTCCTTCCTGGACCCGGAGGACTTCGTCAAGATCCGCAACGCGTTGTTGTCGCGCTCGCGCGGTCGGCAGATCTGATGGCCGGCCCCGTCGCGGCGAGCAGGGCGAGCCTTGTCGACAGGGCAATGCCACACGAAGGGGA